CCTTTCTTTATAAACCTAAGCATTTATCCTGAGGGCATCATTTGATGGTGCTCATTTCATGCACTTAACATTTATGTTTTGATTTCATCTCTCGGCTTTCACAGCATTCCCCTGCTTTACACATTCATGGTTGAAGGGAGAGCTCCTCAGAAGAAGACCACTATCCAACTCCAGTCAGGCCGGAGAGCAGAGCGCCCATTCAACATGGGGTCTGCACAAAGAAGGCACGGGAGATTAGCCCTCCATTGCGTGGGTCCGGGGAGGTGTGACATCTCAGCGACGTTACAGAAGGTGCCTTGACAAGGAGCGCACGCATTCCACCGCGCCTCGGAAGCACATACGCATGCGCAAGAGAAAGCCGGAAGCGGAGCGCGCGCCCAGGGGCAATGCGAAGTTCGGGTCGGCTGCGCCGCGGCGAAAGCGAATGCACGCGGGCCGGGGGGACCTTGAGGCATGGCTCACAGGCCACGGAGGACCTTTCGGCAGCGCCAAGCCGACTCCAGTGATAGCGATGGCTCGAAGGACCAGTCTGCCGAGTCCCCGGGCCCGGCGGAAGTAGCAGGACGGCCTCACCGTGCCCGGGGCCCTCGGGGCCGGGCTCGGGTCTGGGCGAGTTCTCGGCGCGCCCCCGGAGCTGCTCCGCGCGTGGACGGCGGCTCGGGTGCCCCAGGTGACGCGGGGACGGAAAGGAGCCGGGGTCATCAGGGGACCCCGCAAAGACGTGCTGCCCGCGCGCATAGCACTAGACCGCCCGCCTGAGTGCGCTGCCCCCTTCTACTTATCCGGCTGGTGGGCGACGGGGACAGGGAGGTCCTTGTACAGTTGGGGGGCTCCTCTTTCTTTGCGCCACACATGACCCTCATGAATTGTAGTCACAGGACAATAATTGATGTTTATGAAGAGCCTAAACCATCCCGAAGGAGTTACGTACTTCCTAATGTTATTAGCTAGATAAAAGATTGTATACTGTTTGGAAACTTGCCCAGTTTATTTTTCTGGAGAACACTTAGCAAAAGCAGTGCAGTGCATTGAAATAATCTAAGTGAGAGGTTTTAGAACATTCTCTTTTGCTTGTTTTCTTTCATCATTTAGTCGCAAATACTGAGATCAAAGAAGTATGTCATACTAAATATCCTAATACAGGTGGATCACATTGAACTGTACCAGTGATGGCATTAAATGTAGTGTATCATTTTGAAATACCTTTGATAATACAGATAGGTTTCAAGCAGCATAGTTATTTACATGAAATATGTTTTCTATAAGTTTGAACCTTAATAAAGAATACAGTTTTTCGTTAGTCTTGAAGGCCAGCTTTTTCTCCTTAATATTTTTAGTTCCATTAAGGCAATTTTAATGGTTTCTTACATATTTATTCACAGATAAAGATTGTATACCTACACACAAAAAAGGAAGAATAATTGTGTATACTTAATTGTGTAGAATATGACTTGAAATATGAATACATTATGAAATAGCTTTGAGATAAGAACACTTAATTCCCCCCAGCAATTTTCAAGTATAGTATATAAAACATTGTTATTATCTATAGTCACCATGTTGTACAATTTATTATTCTAAAATTTTGTGGATTTTCTTTGTTATGTAGTTTAACTGGGCTTAACAAACCAAGTGGCCTTCCCAAAATTACACACTGAAAAGATAGACTCAGGCCTTAATTTTGACATCAGTGCTCACTGTAGCACTTCTTGCCAGTAGCCTGTAAATATGGCACAAGGTAGAAAGCCTAAATTCTAGAGTCAAAAGAGATTAGGTTGATAGACCTACTTCTCTACTTACTTAGTATTATTTATCTTCCCAGCTTGAATCTCATCAGTAATAGCTCTTATATTATAAAATTGTAAGTGTTAAATAAGCCATGTGAAACATTTCAATATGTAGAGCACAGAGTAAGGGTACATTAGACATTTTTCTACTTAATCACTATTATTTTTCTTTTCAAGATACTACTTCCATTTTTGTCCCTTCATTTTTTCTTTAATGTTTCATCCCACTTCTTATTGCATCCTTTTAGAAATATTTTATTAGATGTATAGATAATACAAATAGAGGAAGCCTTTGTACATGTATCAGACCATCTAGTTTCAGAAAGATAAAAGTTGAAGAAAGATCTGTATGTTTTCTTTAAGTGTGTGGAATAGGATTAAAACATCATATTATACATACACCATTTCTTGTTCAGAATTTCTGTTATTGATTCCAATAGAATGCAGAATGGTTGATCTTCCAACAGATGAAGAGGATGAGACACATCACTCCTCAGAAAGTAAAGAGGATCAGACTTCATCCTCTGACAGCTCTAGCTCTCTGGAAGAAAAAGAATTTTCATCCATAGGTTGGTAATTTTTGTAATTTTCTTTTGTTTTTTTTTGACACTCAGGATTGAACTCAGGTCCTTGTACATTCTATGCATATGCGTACATGCTTACTACTGAGCCCCAGCCAAGAATTTTATTTCTAACATATTTTTTATACCAGTAGTTCTTATTATTGATGAAACAACTGTAGTGAAGTGTAGGGAAAGTAGGTTGTTACACATGATTGTCAAATTGGCAAAATTGACTGCTCATTTCCATTATATAACATACCCCAAGTCAGTCAGCTTATTAGAGGCCGTGGTAGAATTCAGAACCAGGCAGTCTGCTCCAAAGCCTCTTCTTAAAATACAGTGTATACTGGGTGGATTTCCCCTTGCACCTGAAGGATAGTAAGAATTTATAGTGGGATGTTTCAGGTAGAGGGCTTGGCATATCTCAAGCTCTAGAGAAGGTAACTTAGAGTGTGCAGGAAACTCAAGACAAAGTGGTTTTGTTTTTTGTTCTTTTTTTAAAAAAGATCAGTCTAGTTCAAATGTGAACAAAATATCACCTGTGGGCTACCACCTGTTTTTGTAAATAAAATTCTATTAAAACACTGTCACACTCTTCCAATTACTTATTAACTAAGGCTGCTTTTATACTGCACTGGCAGAGTTGAAATGTCATGACAGACCGCCCCACAATGTCAAAAGTATTTACTTGGCCCTTTACTCTAACTTAAGTATTTGAACTTGTTTTATAATATAGACTCATTTTTCAGTTCAATGGAGCCTAAGGCCCCTTTGAGAAAATTAGTAGAGTAAAATACATCACTTTATAAAGGAAACAAATCATATTGAAATATAATTGGTAAAATAAATTTTAAAGAACTCATAATAAGATAATATACTTCATTTTTGATTTTTTTTTAAAATTTTGTTATTGTTTTTACATTTACTTACATGTGTATACATTGTTTGTGCCACTGCCCCCCTCCATCCCTCCCCACCTCTCACCCATCCACTCTCCCCACCTCCACTTCCAGGCAAAACCTGTTCTGCCCTCTTCTTCACTGATTTTGTTGAAGAAAAAGCAAAGCATAGAAGATAATGAGAAAGACATACAAGTTTTGCTAGTTTAAGATAAAGATAGCTATACAGAGAGATTCTTAGCATTGTTTCCACGCACTTGTGTATTTCAATGCACATTGGTTCATCTCTACCAGACCTCTTCACTGCTTCCTGGTCTCCTTCCCATAGTGGCCTCTGCCAGTTTAAGATTACTATATTCGCTTCTCTACAGTGAGCACATCAACCACATTCAAGTTTTAGGTTTCTTTTCCTTTCCCTATTCCTCCTGTGCTCATTCTCCCCTTGGTGTGTGACCCATGTCCAGTAACACTACTACATTTGTTTTGGGTCTATAGTTCACATATGAGGGAGAACATGTGATTTTTGGCCTTCTGAGCCTGGCTAACTTTGCTTCAGATATGTTCTGTAGTTTCATCCATTTACTTGCAAATGACAAAATTTCATTCTTCTTTGTGGTCAAGTAAAATTCCATTGTGTATAAATACCACATTTTCTTGATCCATTGTCAGTAGTGGGGTATCTTGGCTGTTTCCATAGCTTGGCTGTTGTAAATAGTGCTGCAGTAAACGTGGGTGTGCAGGTGCTTTTGTAATAACTTGAGTCGCATTCCTTTGGGTATATCCCTAGGAGTGGGATTGCTGGATCATATGGCAGATCTATGTTTAGTTTTTTAAGAAGCCCCCATATTATTTTCCAAAGTGGTTGTGCTAGCTTACATTCCTATCAGCAGTGTATGAGGGTTCCTTTTTCTGCACATCCTCTCCAACATTTGCTGTTGTTGGTGTTTTTGATGATAGCTATTCTAACGGGGTGAGGTGAATGTTAGTGTGGTTTTGATTTGCATTTCCTTTATGGCCAGGGATGTTGAGCATTTTTTCATGTGTTTTTGACCGTTTGGATGTCCTTCTTTGAAAAAGTTCTGTTTAGTTTAGTTGCCCACTTCTTTATTGGTTCTTTGATTTTTGGGGAGTTCAGTTTTTTGAGCTCCTTGTATATTCTGGTTTTCAGTTTGATGTATAGCTAGCAAATATTTTCTCTCACTCTGTGGGTGGTCTCTTCAATTTAGAGACCATTTCTTTTGTTGTATAGAAGCTTTTTAATTTCGTGTAGTCCCATTTGTCCATCCCTTCTCTTAGTTATTAGACTGCTGGAGTTTTAATGAGGAAGTCCTTGCCTACACCTATAGTTTCCAGTGTATTCCCTGCTCTTTTGTGTACTAACTACAAGTGTTCAGGTCTGATATTAAGGTCCTTAATCTACTTTAGGTTGATACTAGTATAGGGTGACAGGTATGGATCTTGTTTTAGGTTTCTGCAGGCAGATAGCCACTTTTCCCAGCAGCATTTGTTGAAGAGGCTGTCTTTTCTCCATCATACATTTTTGGTGTCTTTGTCAAAAAGAAGGTGGGCGTAGCTGTGTAGATTCATATCCAGATCCTTTATTCTGTTACACTGGTCTTCATATCTGTTTTTGTGCCAGTACCATACTGTTTTTATTACTATGGCTCTGTAGTGTAGTTTTGAAGTCAGGTATTATGATACCTCCAGCATTGCTCTTTTTGCTCAGTATTGCCTTGGCTATTCATGGTCTTTGTGTTTCCAAATGAACTTTAGGATAGATTTTTCAATCTCTGTGACTAATATCAATGGGATTTTCATGGGAATTGTGTTGAACATGTAGATTGCTTTTGATAGTGTTGCCATTTTTTACTATGTTGATTCTGCCAATCCATGAGCATGGGGGATCTTTTCATCTTCTGTAGTCTTCCTCAGTCTACAGTAGTTTGTAGTTCTCCTTACAGAGGTCATTTACATCCTTCATTATGTTTACTCCTAGGTATTTGATTTTTTTTAAGGCTATATTAATCAACTTAATTTTTGTAAGTTGATTTTCTATCCTGCTACATTGCTGAAGCTGTTTATTGTCCAGAACTTTTTGAGTAGAGTTTTTTGTTTCTTTGAGGTATAGGATCATGTCATGTGCAAGTAGGGATATTTTAAACATTTCTTTATCTTTTTGTATTCCTTTTATTTCTTCTTCTTGCTTTATTGCTCTGGCTAGGAATTCCAGGACTATGTTGAATAGGAGTGGGGAAGAGTGGGCACCCTTGTCTTGTTTCTTGAGTTTAGAGGAAATGGTTTCAGCTTTTTCCCCATTAAGTTTGATGTTGGCTATAGGTTTGTCACATATAGCCTTTATAATGTTGAGGTACATTCCTTCTATTCCTAGTTTTCTTAGAGCTTTTATCATGAAGTGGTGTTGGATCTTGTCAAAGGCTTTTAGTGCATCTATTGAGATGATCAAGTGGTTTTTGTCTTTACTTCTATTAATGTGCTATATTACAGTTACTGATTTGTGTACATTAACCATCCCTAAATCCCTGGGATGAAGCGTACATGGTCATGGTATTGCGGGAACAAAGTAACCGAGACCATTTTTACAGGAAGCAGGATGTTTATTAGGCTAGCGGACTCAGGGGAGATAATTTCTCCAAGCTCTGGGCCCCTATCTGTATCAGGAGCTGGGTTAAATACTCACAGAGTTTGTCCCCCACCACCCTATAGAATATGGTCACAATTTACAGGAGACACTGCAGAGCTAGCTGGAGGCTTGCAGTTTTGTAGAGCTAGCAGAAAACTGCTTGTAGACTCAGAGTGGGAAAACCAAGGTAAATTCCAGATACACAGTAAATCCCAGGAACATGACCGAGCTGGCTCCAACAATGGTGAACAGTCTTTCTGATATGTTGTTGGATTTGGTTTGCCATTATTTTAATGAGGATTTTTGCATCAATGTTCATTAAGGAGATTGGCCTGTAGTTCTCCTTTTTGGATGTGTCCTTGTGCGGTTTGGGGTTGAGTATAATACTGGCTTCATAGAATGAGTTAGGCAGTGTTCCTTCCTGTTCTATTTCATGTTGTTTCCCTTTCTATTTCAAGTTTAAGGAGAGCTGGTGTTAGTTCTTCTTTGAAGGTCTGGTAAAATTCAGCGGAGAATCCATCAGGTCCTGGACTTTTCTTTTTTGGGAGACTCTTTGTTGCTGCTTCAGTTTCATTACATTTTATAGATCTGTTTAGGTGGTTAATATCCTCTTGGTTCAGTTTTGGATGGTCATAAGTTTCTAAAAATTTATCCATTTCTTCAAGATTTTACAATTTATTGGAATATAGGTTCTCAAAATAGTCTGATGATTCCCTGGATTTCCTTGGTGTTTGTTGTTATCTCCTCTTTTTCGTTTCTGGTTTTATTAATTGGGGTCTTTTCCTTCCTTGTTTTAATCAGATTTGTCGGGGGCTTGTCAATCTTGTTTATTTTTTCAAAGAACCAGCTTTTTGTTCAGTTGATTCTTTGTGTGGTTTTTTGGTCTCTGTTTCATTAATTTCATCCCTTATTTTTATTATTTTTCTCCTTCTTCTTGTTTTGGGTTTTGCTTGTTCTTGTTTTTCTAGGAGTTTAAGATGTAGCATTAGGTAGTTTATTTGAGATCTTCTTGTCCTTTTAATATGTGCATTCATGGCTATAAACTTTCCTCTTAGGACTGCCTTTGCTTGTCCAATAGGTTCTGTTAGGTTGTGTTTTCATTTTCATTAGCTTCCAGGAACCTTTTGATTTCCTCTTTTATTTCTACTATAACCCACTGATCCTTGAACAATGTGTTATTCAGCCTTCAATTATTTGTGTGTTTTCTGCTGTTTTTGTAGTTCAGTTCTAGTTTTAATGCATTGTGATCAGATAGAATATAGGGGGTTATTTCTATTGTCTTATATTTGCTGAGGCTTATTTTGTGGCCTAAGATACAATCTATTTTGGAGAAAGTGCCATGATGGGCTGCTGAGAAGATTGCGTATTGTGTTGTTGTTGGATGAAATATTCTGTAGACATCAGTTAGGTCCACTTGATTTATAATGTCATTTATTTCTAGGATTTCTTTGTTGATTATTTCTTTG